AATACGAGTGGCTAGTTTCTCACCCGCTTCTTTTTTCAGAGGAGCTTTTCCCTTCTCTGTTAGTTTTGAGATTATTTCTTTGTTATCCCTCAAATCAATCTTTGTTCCTAGAAGAAATTGCATCATGTTTGTATAGGTAATCACACTAGGGAAAATCCAAATCAGAATTCTGAGGCTGTATGTTTCTCTGTTTGTTTGAATCACACCTTTTAATTCTCTCCAAATGATAAAAAGTGTGGCATTTAGATGATACCTTTGTGTAAAGTGTGTAGCGGTTTTCTAATTTTATACACACAAAGAGAGCAGGTATAGATACACAGGAATAAACTAATGGTCTGTACAAACATGAAAATTCTTAGAGCATGGTGGTCGAATTTGAAAGCAACATATACTTAGGTCACGTAGATGGCAGCGTCCTTGATTAGCGTTCAGTATTGTTTACTTACCAACAAGAATCTTTGGTGCTTCGGGAACATGATTTGTAAGCTCTGGATTCCATTTCACGCTTACATTGTCGTATGATGGTTCACTAATTATACTAAAACACACTATAAATACATCAGTCTGCAAATTAATTAAAACCACATAAATGATATGATAACGTGAATATGCATGAACTTTCCAAGTTTGTTATACTATCATTAAGTTGACATTTTTATATTGCCTTTGCATTAGATTGGCGTTGTCTGTATTAAAGGGAAAGACCAGGCAAACTACATAATGCTCTTAGATAAAGGAGCTCCACAAATATGGGAGAATGCAATTTACATTCTCTAGTTTCAACTTTTCATTAGTATCATGCAATCCACCATCTTGATTCTCCAGTAAAAGATTATCTGTAAAGTATGACACTTTAATGCAGACAATATACAATTGTCGAGACAATGTCACCCTAATGCAAAGACAATATAAAAAAATGTCAAGACAATGCCAACCTAATGCAAGACAATTGCCAAAAAACTAATCAAGTCTGTGCATTGTCATGGGACGCATATGTACAGGTTTCATTAGAATGTGATGATTAGTTTTTAAAAAATTCGCAAAA